TGAAACCCAACTTTTCTTCGTATATAATTGAATTTTACTCTGTTTAGTTAAAAATGAGACGTCATGAAGAAATCCATGTTTCTTGATTTGATGTCCATCCTCATGCGTCGACTGCCTGCACTAACCCTCGTCGGAAATGACTTCTTTAGAGTTACACCCCAAAATAATCATGTCTATTCGGCAAATTTTGCATACTTTTACCTTCACGCTAGTCATAGCTTCTGCTAAAGCACTAAAGCATGCTTCATCGAATTCTCCATCATTCAGCCTATTGGTCTTCCTTCCTGTCCAGATTTCCAGTCTTCCAGTCACCACCAACACAACCAGATACATTGTCATCCTTGATTAACTGACTGGTATAAAAAAGCAACAGCAGAGGTACATGGATATAGATCATTTAATATAAATAGTCTTTCAGTATTTTGGTATATCGGGCCATTGGGGCTTCTGTTAACAGAGTGGGGCGCACTCTAATCAGTTTGTAGCTGCTGTTTAAAAGGACGAAACAGACACATTCTGGCCTTAAAATGAACATTTTAGCCAAGTCTAATTCACCATGGAGCCCAGGGAGAATGGAAGACCCTTTGGATAAAGCTGGCTGCCGGTTGAGCTAGTCGGCGGTGACTGCATTCTGTCGGTCAGCTTTTGACCTTCGCTGCCGGACTCCAGTTGGTTTCCGATCATTTTGCAATTGCTAATGCACCGACCACTCAAGCCAGCATCGCTTGGCCCCATGTATTCTGGTGCGCTAAGATGGCTCGGTCTTGTTGCCGGGCCTGTCTGAGGCTCCGGAGTCGAGGCTTTAGGTGGTTGTTGGGGCGGCGGCAATCTGGGCCGGTGAAGATGGGCAGAGTGAAAATGATCGGCCGAGGAGAGATGACCAAACGTCGACTGGCCGGCTAAGGGAGCGGCAAGACTGACGTTGGGGCTGGAGGCAACTAATCCGGCGGCCACGGCGAGTTGCCATGCCAACTCTGGAGGAGGAGGAGGAGGTCGCGGCGGTGAAGCCGAGGACTGGGGCTGAGGTGTTGGACAGTTCTCCGACGTTTCAGCATCATGTCGACGTCTTTTTGTATTCATCGTTTTTGTGCTCACAATTTGTCGAATCCTCGCCGCTTCACACTGACCATACAGCAGATCTGTTGCACTGCTCCTGACGACACCGGCCGAGGCGGCGTTAGGCTCGTCGGTGGTGCGAGTCTCGTTGAAGCCGACACCGGCCGCTACGGACTGGCGTGAGCTGGTCGGACAGTTGACCGAGTCCGAGTTCCGTCGTACCGGTCCGTCGGCCGAGGCTTTGTTCAATCCGACGGTGAAGGTGGGCGAAATCGTCGGGCCACGATTGCTTCTGACGACGTCGTCACCGCACCTCGACGAATAGACTCCGTAGACCAGCGACATTGACGCTGTCTGTGCGATCGGCTGAACGGGCGGCTTGTTGAGGAGGACAGAGACGGCGGACTCGACATTCCTGGCCGGCGGGGAAGTCGAGACTCGATCCGAAGGTCGCAGTTGACACGATTTGATGTTGCCAACTGCTGTACCCTCCTTGATCGTTGGGATCAAGCCTACGTGGGCTCTAATCCTTTCCGGTCCGAGCTTATCCTCGTCTTGGCGGAACTTCAAGCTATTCACGTGAAGCTGGCGTCCAAATCCAATCTCCAAGTGTCCGTTTGCTTCCAATTCAATTGCACCCTCTTTGCTATCGTCGATTTGTTCTTGCACACCTCCATCACGACCTCTTTTCCTCCTCTTTTCCCCACTTTCTCTCTCATCTACCAGGCATATTTCCTCGATGTGTTCTACTTCCTTCAAGTCTTCTTCATTTTTTTTGATATTTTCACCTCTTCTCTCACCCTCTTCACCCTCTTCTTCTTCTTCTTCTTCTTCTTCTTCTTCTTCTTCTTCTGCTCCGTCCTCATTCTCCTCCTCTTCTTCTTCATCTGCCAAC